AGTCGACTAAACACAGGCAATAGCTATAATTAGCTCCCCTGTGTCCAGCCTGCTAGATTTATCTTTGGTTCATGTTTAACTTGGTTACAGAGTGTCAGGCACTGTCAGAGTCTTTCTGTTTGTACTAACGCCCAGCTCTCTGCGGCCCTCCTTATTTATGAGCTTTCCCAGAGAGCCCTTCTCTTTAGCAAGTTAGCCTTGTGATAATTCTTCCTGTTGGGCTCTATTGTTTCTCATTTAGATTTAACTTTGATACAGTGTTGAAGGAAGCAATACACAGCCTGTAGATTGACTGATTGACTGCGGTGACTTAAAAAGGGAAATGGCTCAGCTCTCTTTAGCAGAGCTGCCAGCTTTGTATGAATTGGAGGAATTGTGCATTGCATTATGTTTCTCCCCACCGGACAAAATGAATGGATGCACTTGTGCAACTCAAAATGTGGTGCAGAGGAGATAAATGGAATGGGATGATTATGGAGTCTTTAGAAATTCATTAGCTGGTGTCATTGCCTGCAGAAAAAATGGTAGCATTTCTCTTCGGGGAAAGTGAAAGCTGTATGCATGCTACAAATACTGCAAGAAAACCATCTTTGGTAGTGTGATAATTTCCCTTACAGGCTTACTTTACATGAATTCTTCTTGCCTCAAAAGGGCCTTTTTCTCCACATGTCTCAGTTTTGCTTCTGCAGAATGTTCTGGTGCCTTTGCCCAGCAAGAAATGGAATTTCACTTTATAGTTTTTAAGGCACTATAAATAAAAACAAACAATGGGCAGGATACAGATTTAGATAAAGTAACTAGTTCTATAGTTTGGTAAGATCAGATATCAGAGTCTTCTTCCTTATGTACACAACAAGAGGCAAAGAAATTCACAGCTGGAACTTAAAGTTGCATTTTAGTCATAAAAGAAAAACCTGTAACTCCACAATCACTGAACTGTTATAAGCCTTCATTATTTAATGATGCTCTTTTTCTGTCGCTGCTTGCTTTTTACCCACCGATTCCATAATGGGCTCTTAGCCATTAAGGTTTTTACAAGCACCTTCAGCCTCAGCTCTCTCTGTGCTGGCTGCTAACAAAGGTTGCCCATATTTCGCAGTTTAAAGACGATGTGTGCAGAAGGACACTTTTAATAAAAGGGATCACTGCTTTTGCCTGCCAAAGATCTGCTTCTGGACCAATTTAAACCAGTTTAGGACACCATAGTACATAATGAATATACTTCATGGCATCAGATAACTTTAAATGGCTGCTGATGAATGTGCATTCTTAAAATTGTTCTTTCCTCAATAATTTTTTTTTTGCCAACCTGAACTGGGTTCTGTTTCCTTAGTTATCAGCCATCATCAACTTCATAGCTTTAACTCTGTGCTCGTCAGATGTGTCAGAAAGGCGAGTTTTGCTGATCTGCTGTGTCCCTTAACCCTTTCAGTGAAACATGTCTAGTGTGTGGCAAATAAAAGGCGAGGATATGGGGGAACAAGACAGTTAACTGGATGACACCTATTGAAAGCCCCCTCATCCACTCTGAACAGAAGCCACATGGTTTCCCCAGGTGGAGGTGGCTTAGTGTGCACTTTATGAGCTACAAAAGACTTCACAGGGAGGCCTGATCTTCCGTGACCAATTCACTGTGCAGTCTCACAGCTTTATTTTAAATTATCCTGACACTATTTATTTTACAGTTTTAATCGGACCCATGTAAGTCATAGAAACTTTGACGTCAGTTTCTTCTAGTTCTTTTATCTCAGCACAACACCACATTACCTATGTTGGTCAGGAAAGCAGAGATCAAAGCACCGCCAACGTGGATGAACCCCACCCAGAAACACATCCAGATACTGGGACTGCCTTGGATTAAATGGATGTGATGGAGAAGAGAGACAGTAAAGCTTTTCTTCCCATGGAGTGCTATAAACTGTCTATTCAAATCATGGTATTATTTGTAGTTTGAGATTCTGCCTTATGTATTTGCATGTGAGTGTGATATACCTTATGGTATATCACACTCACAATAATAGAGTGGTTTACTGCTTAATAAAATGCTCCCAAAGGAGTTTAAGTCTGTAATAACACACCTATAGTAATCATTAGGGCTGGGCTATATCATACCGTTCACGGTAATACCGGTGTAATTTTGGGCAACGATAGGAAAATGAAATATCGCGATAGAATATGGGTAAAACGCGCATGCGCAGTGCCTATGTTTACATACGCACATGGCGGCGACGCAGAATGAGAAGAGCGAAAGTGGATCGTTAAATGAAACAGATGAACCAGAATTGGTTTGTAAAAATGCTGCAACTTCAGTGGTGTGGAACTGGTTTAGCTTTCTTCACAACAAAGCACTATTTTTAGTAGCGCATGCTAGCGGGCCGTCGTTATTACCGTGTTGTTTGGAAAATACAGCACACTTAAAATCAATCCTTTGATTTTTCTGAAAATCGACAGTGCCCCTTATAATCCCGTGTGCCTTATGTATGAATTCTGGTTGTGTTTACTGACCTCGAAACGATTTTATGTCGTACACGGCGCTCGAAAATCTGTCAAATGTTTTAGTGCGACTTTGCTAAGCTACAAACCGCACCGCTTGATGGATTGTTGGAGCATTACGGCTATATTAGGCAGGCGCCTCGCGGAGTGATACATACTGTGCTTCAACATAATATTACCGTATTGTGTGTGTATAACCTCTTTTTAAGTTTTGTGGATATTATACATGGTTATGCTGAGGATATGTCGGCCAATTTCCACTGGAAATGCCTTTTGGTTAAACTGTCTGCAAGGAATTTGCACTGTTACGTTTTTATATAACTTTAATGCACATAAAAAAACAGCTGCTTGTTTAAGTGAAAATACATTGATGGCGTTTATTTGCACTAATAAAGTTGTGGAGTTGTAAAGTATTTTGTCTAGTGTCAATTATATCGTCAGTTATATTGTTATCGCAAATTTTCAAATGTATATCGTGATAAATATTTTTGGTTATATCGCCCTGCTCTAGTAATCATGTTGATGCAATTTCATGTTTGTCCTTCTCTGCAGGCTTGTCGATGATAGGTGTGTTGTCCAGCCTGAAGCTGGAGACCTGAACAACCCACCCAAAAAGTTCAGAGGTGTGTACTGGTCACACTGGTTTCTGGTCACACACACACACATGCGCACACACACACATGAACTTGGACTTTTCTGAGACTGCATTATGGGTTACAAATAAGCTTTGATGTGTTGAAATGACTTCAAGGCTTCAAGCTCTACATGTGGACGCTTGAGTGTCATTTTATCTGGCTCAGGTGAGTCCTGTGAGCCTCACTGCTTTTTTTTTTTTTTTCTCTTCTGCAGATTGCCTCTTTAAGGTGTGTCCCATGAACAGATACTCAGCCCAGAAACAGTTCTGGAAGACAAAACAAGGGAAACAAGGAAACAACAACACACAGGGAGAACTCTTTAAAAAGTTACAGGTATGAGGATTTTTAACTTTATGAGCATTTCAAAGCCTTAAAAGTTCTACAGAACTTTTTAACTTGTATGCAGTTGTTTTCTTTCTGTTTATAATGGGGCTATTAGCAAAGAACAGACAGAAGAAACATGGCCACAGATTTAATGATATGATTACAAAACCTGACCAGAGTGTGACCTAGGATGTCCTTGTACCAAGTGCACTTATAAACCCCGTTATTCTTGAACATGGAGTTTGCTGTGGACAGACTGTTTGTAGCAGAAAACACTAATTGGGTTTATAGTGGACAGGCCGCCCCTCCCAGTCACAGCCCTCTAGGTCACACTGTTGTTGCCCATGTAAGCAATGAAGTCCCTCAGCAGGGGTACCTTCAAGAACTCAAACCAGGGACGCCGAGAAGACCGGGTACTCCGAACCGTCGTTGGGCACATGAGCTCAAATGATAATCGGGAAGCAATTATGCATGAATTTATGCCTAATTACAGTTTAAATCAGGGATGCACCAATCCAGTTTTTCCATCTAGTACAGATATCTGGAGTGTTAAATTATTAAGCTTTATTTGTCAACGTGAGGATAAGACGCAATGTGTTATGAGTAAGCCAACATCATTATTGAGTTTAACATCACTTTACTAATTTAACTGTAAAACACAATTT